CGGGGTTCTGTGAACTCTGGTAGTTCACTTGATTATTTGTCAAATGTAAGAATGCCTGCCTAGTGTTTGAAGTGTTTTTGATACAGAAGTTAAAGGCTATCTTCACTTCCAAAGTGTGTGTGTGTGTGGGGGGGGGGGGACCAGCAACAAAACAAATAAAAACAGGAACAAACAAACAACAACAACAAAACTAAACTAAAACACTGTTCTCACCTGAAAGGGGATAAGAGATAGATTATTCTGGAGCCAAATATGAGGGACTATGGCCAAGTAAAAAAATTTAGTTTACCTCAAGTTCCATGTTCCAACATAGTGACAGTTCGACGAAGTTTCTATAGTAACAGAACAACAGCAGATCATGAACCAGCACACTTTCAAATGCATTGATGCAAACACCAGGTAGGTAGTGTACAACAAAGTGGAGAGATCTCTGTTAAAGGTTCCAGATGCTGTCTGGTGACACTCTTAGCCTTGGGGTTGATGGACTACCGGTAGGGATCTTTTCATATATTCCAAAAGAATGTACATGATCATTTCAAGAATGTTGAGTCCCACCTGGAGGGGTGCTATAAACAGCTATGGAGGGGGCAAGTCAGCCTCAGATATTAGTACAGTTTGGATCCGCAGCATTCCAACATCTCTCTACTCCATAAAGTTCTAATTAGTCCATCAGCCTTTCTAGAATGTTCGGTGTAGGTGCAGCTTTCTGTCTCTCCAGTAGAAGAGACCAGCTCCTGGAACTAGTCTTGCTCCTGTGACTACTCAGGTTTTGTGACAGCAAGCACAGTGCTTGACTGGGCAAAGCGCAGATTCATACAAAAAAACAAAAAAGAAAACAACATATAACTGTTTTCTGAGTCTAGCTTCCTCCTGCCAGCAACCTGATGGCTGTGGTCTCAGCCTCCTTGGAAGCACAGGTACTACTGTCAGTCCCTTCTTTATCCACTAGAGGGAGGTAGATAGCCTCCTGCCTTAGCACGGACCCACCAGAAGGCTTGATTGGTCAAAGTACGGTCAGATGCCAAGGAGGCCCCAGGTCACAGTGATAAGAGATGCTTGGGACTTCTCCCTGGGCATTTATTTGCAGGATAGCTCTGAGAGAAAGGAGTTGGCACCTTATCAGTTAAACAAGGATACCCCCAAAGAGTTCATGACAAATTTTGTTGTTCACAAAGACCTATGAACCTATAACGGGCTTGGAATGGGGGACAGGAAAGGGCAGATTGAGCTGTATGGAGAAGGAAGCCATAAGGCTCAGGCTCTGCTCCTCAGCTCATTCTTTCCCGCAACAGGAAGTCAATTTTTTTTTTTATTTTTCTTTCTGTTTTTTTTTTTTTTCAAAGAGTAGTTTGTTCCCGCTCCTGGCTCAAGAGTTCATCTCTGTGGTTCCACAGCATGACCAAGGCAGTTTAGGAAGGAAAGGGTTTATTTGGCTTATGCTTCCATAGCGTAGACCAGTACTGAAGGGACTCACAGGGCAGGAACCTGGAGGCAGGAGCTGACTGATGCAAAGGCCACAGCGAGTGCAATTTACTGACTTGCTTCCCATGGCTTAAACAGTATCTTCATCACTAAGACAACCTGTGTCTTCTTCATAAAGCAGCTCATTTGATGAGAGCTACACTTACCTGTATACATCTGAGTATGAGAATAGGAAGCTAGAAGGCAGCAGGAATTAAACTGGTGTAGCAGAGTGTCAGTAATAGGCTCCTACATGATCTCTGACTTCACTAGCCCTGGAGAATTGGCTAGGTTTATAGTATCAGACATGATTTCCCTCCTGTTTAACAGTCCTTAAGTCAAATTAGACAGTTGATGGTGAGTGCTGAGATGTAAGTGGCATTGTTGCTCCTTTAGGGACATCACAGCATCTTGGTCATTGCTGTGGTCCATAGGTTTCATAGCTAAGTAGGAATATTGAATGTTTCCCTCCCTTGGCAGCTTGTGGGGCTCCTTCTGGTATCATGAAGGCTAGTCCTCAGGAAGGAGGTATTGGGGCCACATCTAGGTTGATTCTTCTGAGTCTTGTGCCTGAAATGTATGGTGTCTTCAGAAACAGAGACTTGATCCTAACTTATGGTAGGAAACCCAAGGTAATAGCAATAGCCTATATTGTTCTGGAAATCTCTTAGACTCCTTTGACCAACAACTTGAAAGTTAAGTCTCTTATGACTAGTACATGGGTTTTTGTTAGACAGCCTATGCCTTAGGGAGAAAACAAATTACTATATATACTAAAAAGAAAAGGGGAGCCAAACAGGTACAATATAAATATATTAATAAATAATAATTTATTGTATTTTTTATATTGACTCATGATATTATTTTTTCTTTTACTATCCAACAAGTAGAACTATTCTAAAAGCAAAACCCCTCACAGAATGGTACCAGATGTGTCCACACCCAGTATGTTAAAATCACTATCCATGAGATAACCATGACACTGAATTGTGTGGTGTATCACTCATCAAAGACCGGAAAAGGAATATTCAAGTAGGCTTTGAAAGATTTTTCCTAAAAGGTAAATCTTTATTTAAAAACTTTTTAAAGGAATTTTAAGAGAAAATTATAACCATGCCCTTAAAGCATCAGTATTTTCAAAAAGAGGAAGAAGAATGCAGAAGAGGAAGACTTTTTGCCATAGTTTCCATGATAAAATAACTTCCTGTCAAAAAGAAGGTATATTTTGCACTATAATTTCCAAAGGAGACTTTCTTATCCACGTTGCTGTGCACTAGTAGCCCCGGAGATGATAATATTGACTATTTAACTGTGAAGTTAATCTTTATGCGATACAAATTCAAATTTCCAGATGTTTAATGTTTATTTCAAGGTGCTTTAGAGACAAAAAAATCAGGATATAACTTAAAAAAATCTAACATCTTTGCTTTACAATGACATTTCTTACAGACTTGCTTTTCATATGTATCAGCTTAACATCGTCTAAAACAATGAGCATTCCAGTACACGACTCCTTGAAGACACAAAATACAAGTCTAATCAGGAGTGGAGATCTTCCCGGCACCACTGGTGTTAAGTATTCGAGCATCCTTTACCCCAACTCCTTTCTCCCTCATAGGCACAACTCAGAAATCTCTGCTTTCCACACACACACACACACACACACACACACACACACACACCCAACACACACACACACACAGAGTTCCATATGCTTTGTTTCCATCTTTTGATCCTTAGAAAAAGGAGCTAACCTCCCTCTAGAATGGACGGTTTCAGCTGGAGGAAGTTGCTGCAAGATACCCCTGGAGAATCCTAGCAAAGTCTCTCAGCGCTCATGTCCCTTCCTCCCCATCCATCAGTACTCATTTCCCCAGGTGAAAGCCTTTCAGAATAGAGTTCACAGCCTTGGAGCCAGGGTAGCTGGTGTCTCTGCTTCCTGCTACTTTTGACAGTGGGTCCAGCTTTCTTGTAGAATTGTGTCAACCCAAAGCCCCATGCTCAGAAGCCTCAGTCGGCAAGGTAGGATATAACTAAATGAAGTGACAGGATAGGAAAGGACTCAATAGCAAGCGGGGATCTTCCCTGGATGAGGACACCCACAATTGTTCTTCTGTGTGAGGACCCGTGTCTAACATGGCCAGGTCTCCCGTGTGTGGTTTTATATTGCTGCTATAATAGTCATAGTGTCTTTAAACAACACACGTAGATTGTTTTACAATTCCAAAGGTCAGAAGTCTGACCTTGTGATCTAAAAGAGAATCTGTTTCCAAGGTTTCTGTATTCCTATCTTAACAGCTACCAGTGTTCCTCAGCCCAGAGGCCTGCCTTTCCTCTGAGCATGTGTAGAGCAGCCGAGCATCTCTCTCTGGCCTCCAGCTTCCCTCTTCTGAGAACTGTGATGACGTAGGTCCACCTGGCAATAAGGGTAATCTCCTTGGCTCGAGATCTTAACCACTTCTGCGAAATTTCTTTTTCTGTGGAAGGTAGCATATTACCTTGTTCCCAGAGGTTGGGAGGTAAGCCCCTTGGGGAGAGAGGCCTGTTGATCTGTGTGTTAATTTGTAAATACTGACCAATAATTCTGAGGTTTGTAGCACTATGAATGCCAGTCCAACAGGTGTCTCTATGGAACGGAGAGGGGAGAGAATAGTTCTCTAGTCTTTGAATGTTGACATCTGATTTAAACAAACCATCTGTGTGGTTTTTTTTTTTTTGCTTTTGGGTTTTTGTTTTGTTTTGTTTTTAAAGCTTTAGTTCTGGCCTCTTGCCTTGTTCATGTGCATACTATGCCTTACAGACGTCTCGGTTACTGAGACGCTGGGCAAGGAGTTTTGTTCCCAGACCTATGCCTGGTTTTTTCTCCTACTTTACAAAATTAATGACAGATGTTTATTTATGATTTCTTATTCTTTGAAAGTTTGATACATTTTTAAAGATTAAAAGCCATCATGTATATGTACACATGTGCCTGAGGAGACCAGAATATGGTATGAGCTTTCCCGAGACTAGAGTTACCATGTGTTCATATGCCACGATGTTAAATACTGGGAACTCAACACTCATCCTCTGTGAGAGCAGTAAGGCCTCTTAACTGCTGAGCCATTTCCTCAGGTCCAGTTTTATACATTTATAATACATATATATACCAACTTAACCTTTTCTCCCTTCCTCTTGCTTCTCTTCTTTCTCTCCCTCTCTCAACTTCATTCTGGTTTTATTTTTCAACAAACATTTATTAAGCTCTTTTTCTAAGCATTTCATCTGCATTAGTTCTTTCAGTTCTCACAGCGATCTCTGCCCCCACCCCAGGGACTGAAGCCAGGAGCCCAGGCGTACGTGTGCTCGGCCACTCTTTACACTCCCCGCCCTCACTCTGAATGTCATTTTTAATGAGAAATTTAAAACTCTACATTTCCAGGCCACACATCTCACAAAGGGAGTCTGAATCAGGTTGTTGGAATCTTTAACCTTCAAGGAAGCAGTAGGTTAAGGCAGGGATACTGACAGCACTTTCACTTAAAAGCCAATGGGGCCCGTCGGCGCGAAAGCGAGTAGCCAACGGCCTGTGGAGCAACATGCCTAAGTTTTATTGTGACTACTGTGATACGTATCTTACGCATGATTCTCCATCTGTGAGAAAGACGCACTGCAGCGGTCGGAAGCACAAGGAGAACGTGAAAGACTACTACCAGAAATGGATGGAAGAGCAGGCCCAGAGCCTGATTGACAAAATAACGGCTGCATTTCAACAAGGAAAGATACCTCCAGCTCTATTCTCTGCTCCTCCTCCTGCAGGGGCCATGATCCCGCCTCCCCCCAGTCTCCCGGGTCCTCCTCGCCCTGGCATGATGCCTGCACCCCACATGGGAGGCCCTCCCATGATGCCGATGATGGGTCCACCTCCTCCTGGGATGATGCCCGTGGGACCTACTCCTGGAATGAGGCCTCCCATGGGTGGCCACATGCCCATGATGCCCGGGCCTCCAATGATGAGACCCCCTGCTCGCCCTATGATGGTGCCCACAAGGCCTGGCATGACTCGGCCAGACAGATAAGAGCGGAAAGGCTCTATTTCGGTTTTGTATTTCTTGTTCTGTTTCAGCAGGAGATCACGGTGCTGAGCCTGGGTGTTTTCTAGCTGCACTACAAGCAAGGCTTCCCCTTTCCTGACAGAATAGTTTGGAGGGGAGAAGTAGGGTTAGAAAAAGTGCAGCGCTCACTTACATTGTGAAATGTGAAAATAAATCTGTCAGCTGTTTGAGTTAAAAAAAAAAGCCAATGGGTCTTCTTCTTATCTTTCATTTGAGATGAGATCCCACTAAGTTGTCAGACTGGCCTTGAATTTCTGATCCTCCTGCCTCAGTCTGCCAAGTGCTGTGATGGCAGGTCCCTGTCCGAACCAAGCTTGCTTGCTTATTTATTTGTTATTTATTTTTATTTGTTTGTTTATTAGGATATGTTTCACTCTATTGTTCAGGCTGGTCTTGAGCTCTCAACATACCTGCCTCAGCTTCCTAAGTGCCGAGATTACCAGTATACACCACTACTAGGTCCAGCTTCTTTTAGTTCATGTTAGAAATAACCTATGATGTTACATTTCCAAAGGTGCCTCAAGCTGTACCTTATATCCAGTTAGAAATGAACAGAGAACACTAAAGCCCTGCTAATGCATGTTTAGACAATTCTTAGCTATTCTTTCCCCCCACCCAAAGTATGCTAAGGTACCCTGCCCCAACTCAAGACCAAGCTTGCCTGCGATAATAATGCATCTGATAAGTTTTGAAAGAAGCAGGATGTTAAAAATGTAGAGATGCACCTGAACATGGTTTGTGGCTGAAAAAAAGAGAAATGTAAACAACAGAAGGAAAGATAAGATCTAGATGGCAATAAAATGGTCCCCTCCCTGAAGGATCATGTGTTCAGGGTTTATATCACTGTCCTCTGCTCTCAAATGGTTTGCCTACTGCTCACGGCTGACGCATGGCCTCGCGTGGTTGTAAACAAACCTGCTTTGCTTTCACTTCTCTGAGTCTTCAGTTCTCTCATGACGCGAGGACCATTGATTCACACAGTCCATTAATCATCGCAATAACTCATTGGAATGTATGGTATTATTTCTATTTTATAGAGGAAAGACTGAAACACACATAGAGTTTGCCCCAGGCACAGTTCGTGTGAGTGATAGATATAACTGAGCTTGAACACAGAGAGTCTGGAGGTAACTATTCCTATATCAGTCATTCTACCAGGAAATTGTAGGGCCCCCAGAATGCTCATTCATCCATTTCTTCATTCAGTCTCTATTTACTCTTATCACTCTCATCAGGCTGCCATAAATTGAACCATTTCACACAAAGCAATCAAACTATCATGGTAGTTGCTCTGATGGTGTTGCAGATGTCAGATGGCTCCCGAGGAAGTAGCACTATCTTGAGAGTACAATGCAGTGTCTGGACTCTACAGACGGAGCCATATGAGAAAATGGTTGGTGTCCTGCAGTCCTAGAGAGGAACAAAAACGAGCACACTGTCAGGACTCATCAGATGGACTCTGGACAACTTAGGGCATTCTGTCTTCCCAGTGACTTTACAAAGTGGGGAACTCACATTTCCACCTCCACTTTATGAGGAAACTGCAGCACCAAGGTTTGGAACCCTGCCAAGGTTCCAGCGTCCATGTAGTGAATTATACAAGCATCATATCACGATCATGCCAAATTCAGAGCTTAATTTCATATTTTATATGTAACTTGTTTTTAAAACCTGAAATGAAGAAACAAAGTATCTTACTATGGTATAGAATAGAAAACCTGTATGGAGCACTGCATCCTGTGACAATGAATAATATCTCTAAACTCAATTGCCTGTGTGAACTTAATGATAAGGTTTATTCTACTTCAAAAATCGGAGATTATTAAGTGTAAGAAGGGTTGTTTATTAGCAGCAAACTGAGACTTTGCTATTGGTGAAACCAGAACTGAGAGAAAAGTTAAAAGGCAGTAGTTTTCTCACTATGTGAAAGTGATTGCGAGTTCCCCCTTTGTACCACCTAAAATATCACTAGGGAAACCCATTGGTTCAGAAACCAGTTCGGAGAACTGGTTCAGGGCACTATGATAACCCACTGCTTGCTGGCAATCCATGCTTGAGCAAAGGGTCTAAACATCAAAAGGTCCTTCGGTAGCAAAATGCAGATAGCACTATTGCATTGTTATTAAAGAGACCATAATGAGCAAAGCAGCAAACCACCAAATCTAAAGCATAGTACATAATGAATAATCGTAAGCCACTGTCGTTGTCAAACTTTGCACGCAGGTTTCTGGCCTTTTTGTTGTCAGGTGATAAAAAAAATGTTATAGAAAGAAAAGATGGTTAGTATTTATTCTAGGTGGATAAACGTTAGGAAGTAGTAATAGCCTGTTCTTTAATTCTGTAATAACTTTTTCTCATGCCTAGATCGTCCCTGATTAAATTTTTGCCCTAAACCAAGGCCAGGGATCGCGTCACGACCTCCAGACATTCTTCCTGATTTGAGCTTTCTTTGGGAACCGGGACCAAACCAGACACCCAGACACCGAAAGAGAGCCGGCGTCAAGCCCGCCTTTTCCTGCCCCGCCCCCAACTGGCACCCGTAGCCACGCCTCCAAAGCGGCGACCCTCCCGATTCGCTGACTCCCTTTCCGGCGGCGCGCTGACGTCACAAGCCCTGCGCCGTCCTCGCCTCTTCGCGCCTGCGTTCGAGCGGAAGGTCGTCCCTGTGACCGGCTAGGTGTTTGGAGCCGCTGTCGCCATGTTGTCGGTCGCTGCCCGCTCGGGCCCATTCGCGCCCGTCCTGTCGGCCACGTCCCGCGGGGTGGCGGGCGCGCTGCGGCCCCTGCTGCAAGCCGCGGTGCCCGCCACCCCGGAGCCACCTGTGCTGGACGTGAAGCGACCCTTCCTGTCCCGAGAGTCGCTGAGTGGCCAGGCCGCGACCCGGCCTTTGGTCGCCACGGTGTTCCTCAACGGTGAGCCGGGTTCAGGGTGCCCCGATCCGGCTTCAGGGAGGTAGGGGAGGGCGGTGTTGTGGGATGTGGCTCGCCGGCGGGGTTGGGAGGATGCTGTTCTGGTCTCTGCGACCTTGGCGGCCGAGCGCCTCCCCAGGACGGAGTGCCGCTGAGGTGCTGCTCCAGCAGAGACATCTCCCCACTCCCCACCCCCGAGGCCTCAGGAGTCTGTCTGCATTCAGGCTACACTTGACTTCCTTGGTTAACTTCAAGACCAGCCTCCCACTGTCCCGCTAAGTGACAGGGATACTGTTGCTTACAGGAGTTTGACCTTGGGCAAATTTTCAAACGTTTTTCCTCATGGTTGAAGTGGATTCGTGGTTATAACAATTTTGGTGTCGTGAGGCTTAAGTGAGAGAATTCTGTGTAAAATGTAAAATCATTGGTACGGTTTAGACGATAAGTATGCAGAATAGAAGTTGTAAAGAACACGTTGACTCACTCGAGACAACTGCCTGGTACAGACAACTCACTGGTACATCTGTCTTTCAGCATCTTAACTCCCTCCCCAGCGACCCCATCCCCACTCCCACAAAAGTAAGAAAGGAAGACATAACCCCGAGGTCAGTTCCACTGTAAAGGGTCAGCAGTGTATCAGGTATCTGGGTCCTCTAGCTGGGGCTTTCACAGCCCCACTTAGTTGTGAAGAGGCAGATACGGTAGATGTAGGTGCTACTCTTACAGAAAACAGACCCCCAGAGGGGGAGTGACCCATATAGCGGGGATTCTACGCAATGTGGTGTTTTCCAAGTTTGCCTAAGTCAATGCTTGGTCTGACATTTCTCTTCACATGCCCTTGTGATTTAAAAATTTGGAATGATTTCTGGTGTCTCCCACAGTGTGGGAAGCTGCGGAGGGCTCAGGCTTCTGCTCTCTTAGTTGACTGTTTGATCTCAGTCCTTACTGTGTTACCTACTTGGCACCACTGAGTGTTGAGTTTATGGTCTTTCTGTGTGCTAATCAAATTGTCCACTTGGGCAGTTTTTTACCTGGCGTTCATCCACCCACTCTACCCCTCTTTTTCTCGCTATTTTTTTTTTCCCTTTTGAGGCAGGGTCCTACTGTGTAGCCTAGACTAGTCTCAGACGCCTGACCTTCCTGCCTCTGCCTTCCCAGGCCTGGGACTATGATTATGAGCCACCATGCCTAGCTTGACTGGCGCTGTTTTCTGCATATCTCTGTTTTAGCTTTTAACCTTAATTTCAGGTCAGACTACAAGAGCTAGTTCCAGGACAGACTCCAAAGCTACAGAGAAACCCTGTCTCGAAAAACAACAAAAACCAGTGTTGTGTTTACTGATATCTGACATCATTATGACATGTTAGCACTTTCCCTTCTATTGTTGAGACTTCTGACCTTCATTTTAAGAGGCTAGAATGGCTCCTTAATTTTTGTCTCCCCGTGTCAGATTTCCTATAAACTTATACACGATCTTTTTTTTTTTTTTCTGAGTAAATATGAGGGAACACTAGTGGGTCTTTGAGAAACTGTTTAGGACAGAAATGTTATTCCAGGTCTGTTTGGGCTGAGTAATGGGGAGGTGAGAAATAAGGAGGAGAAGTGGCAAAATGAAAAGCATCTCTCAGGTTTGTCAGATAGTTCAAAGGTTTCTTGTAAAGATTATTGTAAAAACAAACAAACAAACAAAAAAACCCACCAACTCCAAAGCAGACAGTTTCAAAACAGCCAAAACCTTTTTCTGGAAGCACACTTTACCTTGTAGCTTAATTGTACATTAAAATCCATTCAGGGGCTGGGGTGTGCTAGCTCACACCTTTAATCCCAGCACTCAGGCTGAGGCAGGCAGATCTCTGGGTTTGAGGCCAGTGTGGTCTACTGAGCGAGTTCCAGGACTGGTTCCATAGCTACAGAGAAACCCTGTCTTGATAAAGACAGATCCATCCAGGTGGCTTATGGAAAAAAACACTTATGGATAGGTAGTGACAAAAATTGGTGGGTTTTGGTTGGAAGCTGCACGGAGGAATAAGCTTGCATCATGGTAGCATCCCTTCCTTGCGGATGTCTAGCTACATCAGCTCTACAACTGCAAAAAGTTTGCATGCCTTAGATTTCCTTTTATTTCTTTTCAAAGTGATATTTCCATAATTGA